TCTAAATAAGATCAATCAGTTGGAGGTAGAGTGATAGATAGTGACAGAAACCATTGGTCCTCAGAATTAGATAAGCAATGGTCAAGCAGGGAACCATCAAAACTCTGGAAAGAAACATTATTTCTGAAAGAGTTTAAGTGAAACTGATAATGGGAGGTTTTTTTTTATATTTTTAAGCAGTTTACTTGACAAAAGTGATCCTATCAAAAACGTTTCTTTAAGCTCATACAAAACTGAACTTGCAAATACTAATGTGAAATTTCATACAGTAAATCTTTAAATCAAAAAGGTCTGAACCATTTAATTTTATTCTGATCATACTCTGAGCTGAAAACTAAAGAAAAAGAAATTATGAAGGGCACTGATGCAGCCACTGATCTGCAAGTCATAGGATTTTCCATGTTTTTTTAGGGCTTAGAATTTATCAAATGAGAAATGAACAAGAAAAAAGTACATAAATAATATGGCAGTAAGATTCAGAGGCATAGAGAGCAGAGAGTCCTGGCAGCGGAAGGCGAAGAAATTTAGGTTATTAATGCATCCAGTTAGGTTGAAGTGCTTGGTGGCCAGATCAAAATACAGGAAGATCCGTGACAGGTACTTTTGGTAATTATTTCACAAAATGCACAACTATTTTGAAAAAGCTTACTGATTGATAGGTTGTATTCCGTATAGTAGTTCTGTTGTTAGCCACGTGTATTTTTTTTAAAATATAAACCCTGTTGCAATCATATTTAGTTGACGTTCATTTATGTTAATGTTTTAAATGATCAAAGACTAGTAGAGCAAGTCAAATATCATTTTCTACATAATGGGTGTTAAGAATAAGTGGATGTAATTTTACAAATACTTTTTTACAGTTGTGCGTGTACTGTCGACGTAAAAAAAAAATCTGTCTGTTTATCCGTCACAAACATATTTATTATTATAATTACTTAACAATAGGTAAAAGCAGAGTATGTGATGTGATATTTATAATCTGTCGTCTCTTTTCCTGTAGTTAAGCATGGTTTACTCATGTCTATGGCAGGGGTCGGCAACCCAAATTGCTCAAAGGGCCATATGTGACCAAAAAAAAAACAAAAAATAAAACTGTCTGGAGTCGCAGAAATGTCTTATATATGCCTTGTATGGTAACACGGGCTTTAAATGCAAAATCCCACTATAGAAAATGACTATGTGGTCTTAAATATATAATAAGCATTCATGATTAAATGTTTATCCTGGAGCAAATGTCACATAGTAGCATGAGGTGAGTAAAGAGCAGTGAAAACTCCCATTGCACGCCGCTTCACTGCCTGTCACCGCACTGTTTAAATTTTGTTGCATTGATGAAATTATAAAAACACGATAAAGAAGTCTTTCTTTGGTGGACGTGTTTCTGTTGGGAGGAGTTGATTGAGTCATGAGGAACCTAGCAGGAACTAACATCCATCAGAGCAGAGCTCTCTAACCCTGAAATCCCACATCCTCCGTCACCAGCGTTACTTGGTGTGATTTATATTTTTAGGATTCAGGGAAAAAATGGAAGAAAGTTCACATCCCTGCATCTGAGCGCCACCTGTTAGATCTGTAGACGGTTTTCATGCTTGCAACAAAACTAGCAGCAGTAAAGGAGTTTGGAGATGCAATCCACTTCTTAAATCTATCTTTGCGCTCCTCTAATTTATCCAGAAGTTCTGTAATCACACTTTTTCTCTCACTCCCAGCTTGGTGGTCGGCTGCATATTTAGCCTTCCCTGGAAATGCCTTTTCCAATTTTCCTTTTTATTTTTTGACAACTTCTCATTACAAAGCAAAAATGCAGGCAATCCTTCCGCATTGGTGAGGAAAGCAAATGATTCGGTCTATTTGAATCCTCTTTTCTCATCAGCTATCTTCCTTTTTTCCCTTTGAGATCCATGGTCCGAGACACACCTGCAGCTTTGTTTGCCTGCTGCTTTGTTTTGTTTGCCTTATTGTTTAAATGTATTTATTATACAAATGTTTACAGCATTGGAAAACATACTGTAACTAATTTATCCTCCAGGCTAACATCCAGTCGGCCTTAGCCTGGTAATGCTGGAGGTTTCTCCATGTTAAAAGGGACTATTTAGTCTCCACTATGGCTGCATGCATTTTCAATGTGAGGGATTGCAATGCAAATGAATATCTACTGTCAGCAAATGCTCAGGAGGAGCAAATACTACCAAGTGACGGAAAACGTATAATCACTCTGTGCATGATATGATTCAGGGCCTGAAGAGAATTTAATTAGAAAAGAATGGGTTTGACAGTTAATAGCATTATGAGGAAGAGCTGAAAAGTTTTGTGTAGAAAAGGCATCCCACAAACCTGACCACAAAACGGACATTTTCTGTTAATTCAGTTTATTTATGTGGCGCCAATTCACAACACACTTCATCTCAAGGCACTTTACCATTCAACCAGATCATACAGAGAGATTGGTTCAAAGTTTTCTAGCCAAGGAATACCAGTTGATTGCATCGACTCATTGACTCGAAGGCAATCCCTCAGAAGGAATTGGCCAAAGACCAAGCAAACTATTGGGAGAAGCTTTGACCAAAGACCTGTAAGCCATTTTCACTAAAAACAGAGGAAAGGTTCTGACTCTGAAAAAAAAAGAAACACTAAAATAGACATAATTTTCATGACAGATCATTCTCATGGCCATTTGTCCTTTAATATAAGCTTAACAAAGTGCCTGCAACTAACTTGGAGGAGTCATGCAGGCAACATATGTCGCCTCCCTACATCCACATTGGCTACCAAAACAAATTCTTTGAGATGTTGAGGGGAAAGAAAAAGACATCTGATGCAGCTCTAAAACAGGATGCCCTTGAGAACAGGACACCCCACCCAGAACGGCCTGAACAAACAGTGTGTGTCAGAGAGCAAAGGGTTGGAGCAGAGAGCAGGAAACGAGCATGGGAGATGACAGAGAAGGAAAAACATAAATACAAGCAGAAGTTAAGCGTTTTCTCTGCTTTCTGTGGTGACACAGTTTTAAGAGTGAGATTGTACAAATCTGCTGCATGTGGTCAGGGCTGCCTTTGTGTGCAAAGCAGTTCTCAGATCAAGATAACATACGTTTAGGCGTAAAATCATGAACAGATATAGATCATAATCTGAACCAGGGAGAAATCAATTAGAAGTCAGAACTTAATGCAAACATCATGGTTTCCTTTACTAGAATGCTTTTTACAAAGTAGCAGGCTTAAAATAAGTCTGTTTTTTTTAATACTTGGACTTATTTCAGCTCTATGAAGATTACATTAAATCTGAATCTGACTGCATAATAGGATGGGATTGAAGTGAATTTGCCTGAATATGAATTATTCGCTGTTCTAGTAAGGTTACTTTGAGATTAAAGGAATTTTCAGTGTAAACATGAACAAAATATGCTGCATATGGCATTGCTCTTTAAAGAGGGTGTAATTGTGTATTTCTCCACTGCGTCTAAGAACGTAGCGCTTTGTTTTCTTAACTGAAAGTGTGAAGGAATTTTTTTCAGCTTGTCTAAATGGGACAGCACCTGTACAGTAAATGATGGCACATAGGAAAATAAGAAAAACCTTTGGTTACACTTTAATGTGGATCTCTGGAACAGACTTGGCTGCTGATTACATTTTAATAAACACAACCAACTTTAACCTCATCCTTCAATATTGTAGCGACATGTTTTCCATAACAGTGAGGAAAATTCTGGCCTTATATAAGAACGAAATTGCTAAGCTCATTAAATAATTTTTAGAATTGTGAATATATGAGTCAAAGACTTTCTATTATTTTACTGGTTGCCAACTGATAGATATGCTTAGCTCCTTCTGCTCATTGCCTTTCATTTTTTGTGTTTGTATATAATAGCTGAGAGGAAGGAAAATTATATATGATTTTCACATTTTTAACAAATTCAATCTCTAAGATGTAGTATGCTATTTTTCTCTTTCCTATTTAAAATCCAGTGAAACAAACTACCTTAACTCTGCTAATCAGTCAGTGGAGTTCACCTATGTGTTATTTAACCTAAAAATAGGTGCAGATCTAAGATGTTTATTAAAGCATATTATTAAAAAAAAATGCCGTACAAGAAATTTAAACAACGCTCAGGTTATAAAGCATTTTTTCCCAGACTGTGATTATTTTTATACAGCTGCAATGATCCACTGCTCAGGATGGAGAAAAATGTTGTAAGAACAACTTTTAATTTTTCACTCCCAAAATCAAACCATTTTTCAAGAAGAAGCATTAAAAAAGTGTTTCCTGTTCTTAGCACAGGGAGCTTAATTTTAGCAGACATTATTCTTGACTATATTCTTTTTGCTGCGTTCATATTCAAAAATATACGTTTTTGGAAACAAAAATATTAACTTACATTAAATCATTTATATTGTTAAAGGAAGAAGTTGGTTATCCAAATGCTCAAAGATTAGAGGTCAAAAGTTTTGTGAATATGATTGACAATGAAAAAGGTGGGACAGGTGTGAAGGGCATGAATGGGTGGTTGGGAGGGGTGCAAAGACAGGGGACTGAAATTAGATGGTGCAAGACGGAGCAAAGGAGCCAGAAAAGAGCAGGAGGAGACACTGGAAGCGTGGGTTGGCCCCTGAGACATGTACTGAATGGATGTGGTATGACAGCACAAGCCCAATTAGTCTTGGATGCCAGGGCTGCTACAGGGAGGTCGGTGCAAGTGATCAAGCCATTCATGCATTCAAGCACTCGCCTGCAGGCATGCCGACAGCCTGGGTAAAGTTACTCCATCGCTGCTTCAGCTGGACTCCTGATCACACTGCTGCCTCTGCTCTCCTCCTCTTAGCTGCTAATTTCCTTTTCTGAAATCCGCAGCTAACATTTGTTCATTTTTCCCCCGTTGATCCTTACTTCCTTCTTTCATCATTCTCTCTTTTCGTCTCATTCAGGAACACAACACAAAGCGTAATTCCCACTGACATCTATACTCTACTATTTGTTTCTCACTCCAGGAACTTGTGTATTACCTCATCCCATTCAGAAGCATAGGAAGGCATGCGGTCCACTGATGGTTGGCCAGAACTGCAGTTTGCCACAGATCCACTGCGGTTTGTCAGACCTCCGTCCTCCTCTCCGACTGGAGACGACAACAAGTCAGAGTCTGACTTTGACAAACTTCGAATCAGTCCCAGGTCTGCAGGTCTTGCTTTGATCACTGCTGCTGATGCAGACTCAGCTGAAACTTTGCTCCCATCCTGTACGTCTGTCTTTGGACTCTGGACCAGCTTGTTGGCATTACCTGGCATGAAGTCGGCCATTGTTGTATGCCTACAAAGTGTAAATAAGTTTAATCCGTTCTGACGATGCAAAGATTAATCCAGCATCATGGGGAGCTTGTTGAACAATACATAAATACAACAGGCACAAAACTGATTTCCCTGCAGAGAAAGACTCATGCTATGAACCTCCCCCATTTATAGGCAAGGAAAACATATAAAGGAGACACTTGTTGTCCACAGTAACAATAACTAAGGCCCACCCACTAGTTGTATCCTGTTTCCCTTCCCTCAGTTAATGGCTGCCTTCTTCTAAGGCTCCTACAGTACATCGTCTCATATAATCTTCAAACTGTGCTTGTAAGGCAAGTTATTTAGCTATGATAAGGCTGAAAAATAATCCTAACACAAGTCTTATTTAGTAAAATAGCATCAGACAACAATTAATTCTCCAAAACAAGAGGGCAAAAGTATGAGATCAACACTGTGGCATGCAGCTTTAAGACAGAAAAACGCATTGAAACAGTAGAATGAGCCCCAAAGTATAGCCTAAAATCCAATGAAGAAAAGACATCACTGTTAAAAACAAAACAAAAACAATTTTCTTACCCACTGACTTTAATCCTGGTGATGTCTTTTCTCAAGTGTCCGTGTCTGTCCTGCTCGAATGTTGCCTCTCGTCTTCAGGAGGACCAGTTTTATCTTGAAGTGAGAATCAGAGGAAGTGCGGATCCCAAAGCCAGGCCTTATCCAGACTGACAGCTGGGATAATCAGGTTACTGATGCAGTAGCTGCTCCATTTTTAGGGAGCGCGACTTAGGATACGTCTCTCAACGACTCTGTGAGTCTGAGGTCGCAAAGTTGAACTTGGTGGCTTTATTGAGGTGATGACAAGGAATGACATTTTGACATCCATTGTGAAATGCCATAAGAACATTTACATATCAACTCAAACCTTATTGCTTATTTACTTCACATTTTACAAATAGAGTGCAATAATAAGCAATTAGTTAATTCTAATAAAGCTCACTTCAACACTGAGCAGTCCTTAAAGTTGAAGAAATGTTATTGTGTATATAAAAGAAAAATGCTCAGGAATGTAATAATCCTTATAGACAGGAAACAAAAAAGTCATGTATATATTTTGGATTTTCTTAATTTAAGACACTTAACCTTTACATATATGAACAAAAAACCTTAGATTTACATTTTCAGTTTATTATCATTTATTTAAACAGCTAAAGCCCAGCCTGACCGATTTACTAAGGAATGTTTTTAAATCAAAAAGGATGCTGGAAGAGAGACATTTTTAGTTTTAGCACAGAAATCTGTCATCCTAGTGTCATCCAGAAATAAAATGTGTAAACTTTTATAAAATCGTAATATAGCTTTTTAAAGTCATTGGCAAAAATCCTAATTGTTTAACAATAATCTGGAACCTACATTTTGCAAACTCATGCCTTTTATTTTCATTGTATCAACTGATTTGGTTGTAGTTCATACATGTCTTATATTTTAGACCACAAGCAGTTTCTTTGTTTCTTGAATAGTTTCTCTCCAGCTCAGTCATTTAAGTGTTATATTGTATAATTTCTACAAATATTGTATGTGAATTCTCTGTCATATACAGTATTGTTCCTCTAAGTATTATAAAACTTTAATTTTGTGCCAACTTGTATCTAGTTTCACTGTCTGATACATCACATACATGTTTCAATCATAATATACAAACAAACTTAATATGATATATACAGACAAACTTAATATAATATGAAATTTAATTTGCATTCGGAATAATCCTTCTTCTCGTGCATAAAGCCCTAAATAATAACCTCCTCTTATATCAGAGATCTGATCATTCCTTATGTCTCAATTTGCAGGTTTACTAGTGGTTGCAAGAATTTCTAAAAGTAGAATGGGAGGCAGATCTTTTAGTTGTCAGGCTCCTCTCCTGTGGAACCAACTACAAGTTTTAGTCTGTGAGGCAGACACCCTTTATACTTCTAAGTCTAGGCTTAAAACTAAAAAGTAAAATTTTAAAAATTAAAATGAAAGTTATGGCCATAGTTATGCTGGTATAGGCTTAGAGTGCTGGAGGACATAGGGACCACTTTCACCATTCTCCTTCATTCTATCTACCATTCTGTGGTATTTTCTTGTTCAAGCCATAATTTTATGTTCTCTTTGCTTTTTCTCATCATAGTAACTTAATCTGGTCCATTTCTGTTTGGTTGTGTGACCATCAAGGAGAGAAATATCAGCTAGATTAGATTATAGATGGACAGAGTTGGGCCTTTTTCGTGTTTGTTTAGTCCAGTTGCTCTCCTAGACATTGCTATGGGCTCATCTTTTACTGTGAATAACTGGATGTGATCTCTTTCATCGCTTTGGCATGAAAACAGGCTCAGATCGTTTATGCTTAACTTTTTCTTTTCAATACAGCTATGGCACTAGTTTACCATTACCTTTTTTAACATCAAAAGTATTTATGGATCAGTGCTTCTCTCTGCTAGATGGCAAGTCAGCATAAGCAGGTTACTCATACTGAGGCAAGTTTTAGTGGAGGTTTCTTCCTGTTAAACAGGAGTTTTTCCTCTCCACGGTCACTGTAAGGAATTGCTGCAGAGTCACTGACACAATGCAGGCAAATACTATCTACTTTAGCCATACTCATACAGAATGAGTGTGTCCTGCAAAGTCAATGACTTAATGCAATCAGCAGCTTTTACTGAGATAGACATTTTTTAAGCAATCTGACTGGATGTTTTGGATAAAATAGTCTCTGTAAAGTGCCTTGAGATGATGTGTTGTTAATTGGCGCTATACAAAAAAACTGTATTGAAATCAATTGACCATAGGTCAAGAAACATAATTCTAAGTCAATCTTAACCTGTCTGTATGCTTGGGTTGTTTTGATCTGACTATATAAATAAGATATAGATGGTTTATATAAACTTAATTTGTAAAGGTGACTTAAAATGCTCTTTTTGCTGCAGTATAAAACTGATGTAAATGTTTATTTTTCAGTTTTCTTGTCTCGTATAACAGAAATACATTTTCTAAACTAAGGGCATGTGGAAATGTATTTCCACATATAATTCTCCACATGTGCTGTTAAAGCACTTCCTGTAAAGGCCTTGATGATTTTATGAGACAATGTGGTTAGAGGAACAAGATTATTAAATAAAGCATCCATTTTTGTGTACATCATAAAATATACTAATTCATTAGGTTTAATGTTTAGGCTTCAAATGTGCAGCTTGGAACCAGGTAGCTGTCTCATCAATCTTCTGACAATATCTTGGTTCAGATCATTTTCTTTCAGTGCTGGAGCTGCATTTACACTAAATATTCAAGTTTCACAATCACATTCATTTAAAGGCAGTGCCAAAGCATATATATCATTGAGTCAAGTTTCCTTGTTTGGATCTGCTACTTGGTGGAATATGTCACATGATTTTAGCAGTTGTTTTAAAAAAGGTAAAGAGAAAAATGTTAATGGCATGGAAACACTTGAGGGAAGATCTCTCCCACTGTGTGCTATTTATGACTCTTCTAAAAGGGAGCAGAAGCTGACAAAAAAAGTCTCTTGCGAGACATCTTTAATATTCACAGCAACTGTAGTTGTGTACAGACCTCCATGTGCCCTGTGCCCTCAATCAGCCAAGTTTCTTGCAAACTCACCTCTTCCCTGTGGGCAGCACTGGTGTGTGCATGACATAAAAGATAACATCCTTCTCCCACCAAGGACGGGGCGCTGAGCCACAGACTGCTGAGGTTAGCAATAACAAAAAGCCACGTCTAATGATGCACGCTAAATTGCACATCTAATGATCTCTCTGACGGTGATGAGGGTGAAGCTGTTTGTGTCATCCACATCTTCTGTGGCATTTAAACAACCAAGGCTCTGGAATACAACGTGTTCAAGATAATGATGTCTTCACGGCATATTAGAGGGACTAAAATAAAACATGAATCCCCTCCTTCAGCTGGCTGGATGCTGAGCCTGGGGCTGAAGACAGTGGTGACTCATGAACGAAATGCTCACTGTGCAAGTCGCAGAGATGCTGCGTGTACAGTAAACACTCACTATGCAGTGCAGCGTTATCATGTGCACACCATTTTTGTCTAAAATGCTCTTCCTGATGTGTAAATGCCTTTTCAGGACTCTTGCAGTAGTATGTGATGTTCCTTCCCCGGCCGTATTAACTCCCACTCTTAAAATTGGCATTTTTAATTACACAGTACACATTTTAATATCTTTGCTGCAATTTAGTGCCCTGTAGAGCCAAACGAAGCAACTGGCATCATGGAGATGGAACATAGGGCCACTGGAGACACATCTAATAAAGTGAATGAGCCACAGAAGCAATTACTCTCAGACAGGCTTTAGAACAAAGTAGCCCAAATCAGCCTCGTATAAACATTATAATTTATGTTTTACATTTCCTTTTCTGCCAGGAAATGTAGACCTCAAAGCGGTGAAATGGTTTAATGTTCTGTGCTTTGCCTGTTAATTTTGATTCGTTTCCTATTAAAAAACATTAGAAAAAAAAATAAAGATATCATTCATCGAGGTTATCATTTTCAAATTTGCAAAATGTTTATCCCAGAGGTAGCTGCACACTCAAATAATTATGCTGTTACCTACATGGACTGAAAAGCAGGACAGAATTTACAAGCTAATAATTCAGGATATGGAATTTCAAATACTGCAGAACTGTTAAAAAGCAGGCAGAAAATGATATTAACATTTAGTTTGTATTTTCAAAAGCCACCTTTCACTTTAAGGCATTATTCTTTATATATTTCCTAATCGTAGAAAACACTTCAAAGTCATGGGTAGGAATGAGCATTTTAGACCCAGGAAACAGTGACTCTACCTGCTGTTGGCTCAGAATGGCTAAATCTGAGACTGTTGTGAAAGCTTTTCAACAGACACGGAACAGAGCTGACCTCCCAGCAGGGAAATGGAGGGGGCAAGCCGTGCATGGCTGAGTGAAGACGTAGTGCTAGATATCCGTCAGCTTCTGAGAAGGAGAGAGAGAAAAAGGAAAACAAAGAGAGGCTGAAGGGATGAGACACTCTTTTCTCGGATTCTATGAGCTCAGTTGCTAGACAAGCAGGCTTACTCTGTGGATTTTCTCAAACACACTTCAATAAATAACATTTGAATTGTCTATTGTTTG